TCCAGCTCGAGCGGTCATCCGTATGATTTGCCTCCCGCTGACCCGCCGCACTACCGCGCACCTCCCTGCTCCCCCCGCCCCCCCTGTCCGCTTTATTTGTTTATAATTTTTCAAAGCTTAGTTTGCTCGACGTTGGCGTAAATTTAGCACACGCATTAAAACAAAAGCCGAACGATTCCAAAGACCGACAGAGACCCACAAGACGAAGCATCGAAGGGGCAGCCACACGAGCCGTGGCCTAATGGCTGATCCATTTGGGCCAAGTGCTCTGGTATCTCTGGCTGCAACAGGTTGCACGTTGCGATAGTCAAGCTCGAGTCGTGACAGCTTGGATCGCCGTGCCGGAAGTTGAGGCCGTGTCCACGGTTCGCTTTGATTTTCTGATTTTATTTTAACTGATTGAAGATCTGGGCATTTCATTTATTTACTTTTTATTGTTGACAAATCGAGTGTGAACAAGCTTTTCAAATTGAATATTGCGGCAGGGCTGAGAGCTGATTGAATGAGTGCTCCGATAGATTATCAGCCGATAGATTATTGAACAAAACTTTCTTTATATAAAACAAAAATTGACAGAATAAAATAATTATGCACATAATATTTAAAGAAATTAAATTACAGCTAATTTGAATACTAAATAAAAATATTGAGCATTAGACAAAAATTAAAAATAGACAGAATATAATAAATGAAGAATGTATAGAATAATCATATACATAATATTAAATTAACATTAAATTAGACCTGATTTGAATCCTATACAAATAGCAAGCTATAGGTGCAGAAAATATTCATGAAAAAATTCAGTTATAGCTAACACTAATCCTCGATCGAAATGCTCAGAAAAATTGTATAAAAACTGTCTTCGAAGCCTTTTTAAAAAAATTAAATTCAATAATTTTCAAAAGTATAAAAATTCAATTATTTATTTCTTAAGAGTTTCAAGTAAAGCAAATTTTGGATAAATAATTCGAGAGTTGTGTAAAATATGCTACATTAAGGCAAAGCTTGATGACTGAGCTGAAGCTGGAGAGGTGCAAATCGAAGTCTTTAATCTGATTAATTTTTAAAATGATAATATTTATTATAATATAGTCGAGCCCCGATAATTTGTTTGATAAAAATTATAATATTAAACAAAAATTGCTATCGATAAAAATCGACAAAAGATTCGTATCCGTTCTTTTACCGGATCTCGACTGTATTATTATATGATATTTTCACTACTATTATATTTGCAATAGGCATTTCGAATTACTCAACCCTTGCTCTATTTTCAATTTGATATCAACTCAATGATTGCTCAAGCTGGATTTGAGTTTCATGTAGATTTCAAGCCGCCAACAAGGCGCAGCCAATGTCGACATTCGGCCTTGGCTGGCTTTGGCACATCAGGCCAGGCCTAGGCCCATTGTCGCACTTTGATGGCGCCGCAATCGGCCGACTTGATCGGCATCAACTTGTCGTTAACAGCGAAAGTCACACGCAGCCAGCGAATGCTGCGAATGCTCGACGGGCCACAGTCAAGTAGCATTTGAGCCGGACCACATACAAATTGACTTGGGCCATCGGGAGTTGGCCAACAAATTTTTGTGCGCCTATAAAATCAAATCAAAAACTTTTGCCTATTATTATTATTGTTTTGATTTCGGTTTTGATTTCGTTTTTATTTGGCTTTGTTTTGCTTTTTTGATGATGTTGTGATAGGCATTTGGCTCAAAGTGCTCAAAACATGCCAATGATTTATGTGTGGTGCGGCTTTTGTGGCTGCTGCTGGTTGTCTTGGCCTGGCCATTCAACTGGCCAGTGGCTAAGTTTGCCTCTCTCTCTCACTCACTCTCACACTCTATGTATGTCACACACACTCTCTCTCTCTTTCCTTTGGGCATCTTCAGCAGCTCACCTGTCATGTCAACGAGTTATGCCTGCCAATCGCAGCAGCGCCTCAGATTTATGCAAAATTTCTCTGCCAACCCCTCGGCCAGCCGCCCCCCCTGTCAAGTGCGTGGGGCGTGTCAGGGCTGTCCCGCTGTGCGCTGTCGGCAAAGTTCTAAGCAAGTTTTTGTGTCACGCTGCTTCTGTCTGTGTCTGATGCTGTTGTAGCTTCTTGTTGTTGTTGTTGTAAAATTTATTATAAGATGTGGCGCATGCTGGGCAACAGCCGAGAGCACTGCTGGCCCAGAAATCGGCTACATCGGCTCGACTGCTTGCCGTTGACATTTTCGTTAGATGTTGCAGCAGAGGCAGAGGCAGAGGCAGAGGCAAAAGCGGACTACAAATTGCTCCACGTTCTGTGGCAACTGTGGCAACTCTTTGATGCCACCAGGCACAGATCAAATTACCAAACGAACATCAAACATTTCTAGCCCTCCCCCCTCTCTGTCCATCTGCAGCGGCGCTGCGGCCGCTGAGGGCAGATGGCCTCACATTTTGGGCGCACCGCATGCATTTTCCTGGTAGTTGCAGTCGACTGACTGACAACTTGTTATTGGATATTGTTGATTGCAGTAACAGACGAACGGACGAGCGGACGAGCAGACGAGCAGCAACAACATGTGATTCAGCTGTCAGCTGCTTGTCACTCGCAAAGTTTTTAAGGCCGCGCAAAAAGTAAAAGAGAGAAAAACAAAATAAAAATTAAATAAAATTGAAAAATAAAAAAAAAAAACAACAAATGCAACATTAATGAAGATGCAAAAGTTGACAGCACACAGCTGTGTGTGTGTGTGCGTGTGTGTGTGTGCGTGTGTGTGTGTGCGTGTGTGTGTCTCTGTAAGCTGCTCGAAGCAAGGCGATTAAGTCAACGTCAGCGACATCGTCAGCAGGCGTCGTCTCCTCTTCAACTTGTTGGCATTTGTCACTTTCGTTTAGATTTGAAGAGGGCAACAGCAACAACTACAACAGCAACAACAGCAACAACTGTTGCCCATAAAGAGGTGTTGATTGTGTCACACTTGTCGCGTTTAAAGACTCAACTAAAAAAGACGCGATCTGTGCCGCCTAAATATCCTTTAACTGTAACCAATGACACATCAAAGGCGGCACAGCCCTTGCCTCTACCTCTGTCTCTCGACCCCTGCCCCTACCCCTACGCCAGTGTCTGTGCCCCTACAACGGTTGCGCATGCGTAATCCCCGTTAAATGTTTCGTTTTCCATCGTTTTTCTTGTGGGAAACGCAACGAGAGCTGAGCACATTCAACATCTGTGTAGAGCTCTAGCTGTGCGTGTGTGTGTGTGTGTGGGGGCGCGGCATTGAAAATTTGTAAGTCAAACCTGTTGAAAATCGAGAACAAGGTGCATATCAATGCGCTGCCACAGCCGCTAATGATGTTGTTCACCCAGTGCATTGTGTGTTGAGTGTGGGCCGGCATATGCTGCGGATATCCCTGACAGCTCAACAGATGCGAGTCACTCCGCGTCCGACGGACAGCCAGCTCAGGGATATCAATTGCAAGCCCATAATATCCTGTCATCGAGCTGCAGCCGCTGTCAATGCTTTGCTCTACAAACTGTGATCATATTCTGGGAGAATCTATTCCCACCGCATCCACTCTCCTTATTGATGCTTATGCTGCTGGGCGTTTTGTTAGCCTCGAGACACGCCAACATTCATCAGCCGCATTCATTCCTTCGTTTTGCTAACTGCTACAACATCTCAACATGCTCGCTTGCAATTAATAAAGCCGACTCGGGCTAAGCCCTCGCTTGACAATGGCTCATCTGCTGAGGCGACTGGCTAATCAGGCTCTCCAACTGGGCCGTAATTGGCAGCAATTGCATCGCATGTTAGCTAACATTTGCATTTTACATGGCTGTTGGTCGTCGAGCGCCGTTCTCGGCGCTTCTCAAGGCAGGCAGCAACAAGCTCGTTCAAGTTGTTAAACGTTGCACTCCTTTCGCTCTGCGCTGTGGCCCTTTTACCTCTACCCTCCTCCCCCTCTCTCTCTCTCTACTCATTTAATGCCTTTGGGACAGCCCTTTTATTTCGGTGGGCGTTGCGCTGCAGCTTTTTGGGACTGAAGAACTTCTCAGCAAATATTTCACACAAATTCGGAGATACGATATATACATATGTATAGTTGCTTTTGGAGCTCTTTCTTGTGAGTTTTTATATATATTTTTTTGTATTTTTGCAGTTGGTTCGGCGCAATGAACTTCCGTTTTTATGCGCGCCCCCGCCTTATAGACGCTGTAGACGCTTTTGTGGGGCCGGCATTAATTTTATTTTTATTGTATTTGGTTTGTTGTTTTTACTGACATTTTTTCCATTGTTTGTTGTTGTTGTTGTTGTTCGTAAAACCACAGCGAAAGAGCAGTGCAATGAAGCGTTGCAAGGCGGCAACCACGACGTTGAAATATCGCGTCGGACTATTTTTTATGATTTGGCTTTTAAAAAAATGTTGAAAACAACAACAACAACAATAACTGGCTCGGGAGCCGCAACTTTGCTTTAGTTTAAACATTTGCCACTCGAAACGCGCTTAATTTATGCGTTTTTTATGCTGATGAAACGCAGACAGGAACTCGGCTAAACTAACCACGTCAAACCAAAGTCTCTGTCTTTCTTACTTTTTTGATCATTCTGGGGGCCAGCCAGGCCGAGCCCCAGCCCAGCGTACCTGAAGACAAATTCGGAATCGTTAAAGCGCAAAATTTCAAGTCGAATCTCTTGTAAGTCGGCAGACAAAGTTCACTTTAAAGAGAGGTAAAGCTTTTTCGACTACCTCTACTCACATAAGCAAAATCTTAGAATCTCAACTCAAAAACGGATGCATATACTAAAGATATCTTATTGATCCATTCAATATCCCATCGAGTACTACAACATTCCCTCCTCTAGAGCAGAGAGAACTCTGTAGAGTTGACTTCCCATTGGTTCTTTGTTTTAGATTCTCGATCTAGCGAATACATAGATATGCTGCAGCTGACAGTACCGTTCGGTGCGAACCATCTAGTTTGAGTTGGGACTAGGTCGCGCAGTTGGGGAAGGAAAACTCACCTGTATCACGCGCATGGGCAGTCCCGTCTCCTTGGCCAGTTGCTCCCTAATATGGCGTGTCGGTTTCGGTGTCTGATTGAATGCCGTTTTCAGTACCTCCAGCTGTTTGGCCTTGATGGTGGTGCGGGGTCCGCGTCGCTTCGAGCCGTTGGCATCGTCGGGACTTTTGTTCTCCGCCTGAGAATCGCCGCGTCCATCGGGATCACCGTCCAAGGAGCCCTGCGAGCACCAACGAAAATGATAGTTAAATAAGTAACATATTTCTCTATATATATATATATATATATATATATATATTTGGAGTGTATATAAGTGTCTATATAGATATGTGGTCTGGGGTGCGCTGCTCATAATCATTTGCCAATCATTAATCAAAAGGGGCTGACGTCGGGTCTACAAAGTGCGGCCCGCTTTCCCACTCCATGGCACTCCACTCCATTCATTACTTTGTCTACATGCATATGTATTGGATCGAAACGGAAACCTGTTAATGATGCAAGCCAATCCACTTCACTACACTCTACTCCACTGAGCACACACACACACACAGGCACACACACACGCATACAGAGTTAGTTTACACTTAGCTCCCCACACACACACACATTCGGTGTTTATCAAGCGAACTTACCTGATCGGAATCGTCATGCGTATTTTTACTATCGGTGCTCATGCTTTGTACTGATATATCCGAGGTGCCCAACGGTCCACCCGCTGAGTCTGGCCCATTCGGTCCAAGCACGCCCAATCCCAGCGCCGGTCCGCGCAAATGTGGCGGATCATCGTCGTCTTCGTCTTCGCTCGCCGAGCCCATTAATGAATCTGTGCGAGAGATGAAAGATTATGAGTTTCTCTTTACCCTCTTTATACATCTGTTGATGAAATATGTATATATACATATACATATATGTGTATACACATTTATGAATATGTAGTAGAATGCAAATGGAAGGAGCTCTACAACGAATTGGAAACGAATTCTCCAACAAATTGTTGTACAATGCAGGCCGAGAGCCACTTAAAATACAATTGCAATAAATAATATTTGTGCTGGGCTAAGCCAAAAACGACGCCCCGAACGCTCGTTTCGGTCACGTGTCGCCATTTCATGCACTAAGTAGCCCAAGCCCAGAGACCACACCGCACCGTCGCGTACCCCACCCTTAAATCCAACTCCTGCTCCTGCTCCTGCTCCTGCTCCTGCTCCTGCTCTTGCTCCTTCTCCTGCTCTAGTTCTAGCTCGTTCCATGGAGTCACGTGTCAAATGCAGTGGCTCTAGCGCTCTGGTGTTTGCCGCTCCGTTGATGCCCAAATAAGTTGATTAAGGCCCTCTCCTTTACCAAACGGAACCAGACTCTGGTATGCCTGGTACGCCCGTCCGTCCGACCGTCTGTACGTAACTCTTATCGCTGAGCTGTATGCCATATAAAATGCTGACACGCGTCGTTCACATTCACATTCCCATTCACATTCACATTCACGTTCGCGTTCACATCATCGTCATCCTGCAACGCTCTAGATAAGCGCCGCACGAGGCCACAGAGTCGTCCATGGCCATTGGCATAGCGTTGAAACGTGTCACTCAAATGGCTCGATTCGATTGTCTTCTCAGATCTGCAGTTCCCCCCGTTGCTCTAGCCCCCTTTTCTTTGCTTCTTAGCAAATCTGTGCCTGCGCCCCTGGGGACAGTTTGCAGACAGCGCATCCACCTGACTGAGGGTTGCGGTGGGTTGGTGGCCCTCCCCTGGGCTGGCCTCTCAGCCAGTTGGCAGCATTTGAGACTTGCCGAAAAATAAATTACACTTTATTATGCATAATCTAATCCGCAGCAGATGCGGCCCACAAGCACCAGCACGAGCAGACTCGATAAGGGTGTAGCAGGGCGCACGGACGGACGGGCGGACGGGCGAAACTTGGATCTGGCTCTGATTTGTGCTGCATGTCGCGCAATATGCCTTGAATTTGGCGCCCGGCTCGAAGTCATTAGCCTCAGTTGCAGCCAGCAGCCGCTGTTTAATTCAACGTCCCAGGCGAGTCATCCACCTGTCAGACAGTCAGCTGGCAACCGGAGACCCAGGCAGTACCGACTCCGTCGAGATGGCGGGAGGAGGGTGTGCAGAGCCATAGAGCCAGAGTCAGTGGCATCGCCAGAGCCAAAGCAAAGGAGAGCTTAGCGCATTACGAGCTGCTGTCTCTTGCATCAGCATGCAAATCCCAGCCAGATGATGACCATAATGCAGCTGTGTATCGCTTGCCAAATCGCAAGTGACGAGCAGGAAGAGAACACGCTTCGATTCAAATACAAATGCTAATATGCGTATATGCCAGACAGTCAGACAGCCAGACAGCCAGACAGCAGGCCAGCGGACAAGCAAGCGAGTGAAGGTTAATTGCACTCAGGTGATAGAACTGTTGAGCGTTTCGGACAGCGGAAAAAATTGCAAAATTGCTGCGATGCTGCAGTCGGAAATGCCAAAACTCTGTGAACTGTGTCGGAGCTGATGGCCGCTTAGGCGTTAGGCAAAAGCCGTCTGAGAGGCGAAACGAGTGACAGGTTCAGCAGAAGCGGAGGAAAAAACTTGAAATGAAGATCCATACCATCGTGCTTAACAGGGAAAAGTAAGTGGGGAAGAAAGAGACAGAGAGGGGGACAAAGGGAGAGCCTTAAGAGTGGAGACAACTTTCGATATAAAAAAGGGGAAAGAGAAAGAAAGAGGGACAAGGAGAGATCCTCAAGCGTGAAGAGAACTTTTGATAGCAAACAAAGGAATTCTTAGAGAGGAAAAAAGAGAGAGGGTAATGAAGAGAGATCTTCAAGAGTGAAGAGAACTTTGATAACAAAAATAGGAATTTTTATCGAAGAAGAAAGACAGAGACGGAAGAAAGAGAGATCCTGAAGAGTGAACTATCGATATAAAAACAGGCAATTCTTAGCGGGGAAGAAACAGAGAGGGTGACAAAGGATATACTAAAGCGTGAAGCTTCTCATATAATAAGGAGAGAATTCTTAGCCGGTAACAAAGAGAGTGGGGGACAAAGAGAGATCCTTAAGAAAACTTCCGATATCAAATGATATCAAAGGAGCTCTTAGTTTCTGGCTACAAGAGAAGCTCATGATTTTCAGCTATTCACGATAATGACAAGAGGAAGCCAGACTAAGCAACTCCATGCCTATGACATACTTCAACTAAGCCTCCTTAGGCCTACCTCATCCTAGTAGGGAAACACTCGCATCTAGTAGCGCAGTGCCTGCTGCACTTAAGCTGCTTATCTTTTGAAGCAAAGCTTACAATCTGATCACAGCTTTCAGTAGTTGTTTGTTCTCCCCCGAAAGAAGTTTCCCACGAGAGAGCTTCAAGTTGAGAAGTTCGCTCAAGTTGCGTCAGGTGCGCACCCTTCAGGCAGCTCAAAGGCTGCTTTGTAGTTGTATTTTCAGATCAAGCGTTTCTTTATAATCTTTCAATTGACCCGCAGCAGCAACCAGCCAGCAAGACCACCCAGCCAAGCAACTACCCAACCGCCCAACCACCCAATATCAAAACAACAACAGCAAGTGAAACGAAACGGAAACTTGAAGTGTTTACCAGCATCGCTTACATGTCGCCAGTTGACAATAGAATCGAGAGCGAGAGCGAGAGCGAGTGCAAGAGGGCGAGGGAAACCCTTGGACCACAAGCGGAACCATCCAATATGGCATGGAAGCCTGGTCCATGGCGCGCCACGGCGTTCCATATGGGCGCTTTAAGTTGTTGTTAACACATGTTAATAAACACGCGACCGATGGGCGATTGAAGGCGACTCGCCGCTGGAAGGAGACGTTACAGTTCAATGTGCGTGCGGCACGGGGGAGGGTTGTCAGTACCAGCAACAGCAACAGCAACAGCAACAACAACAACAGCAACAACAACTTGGCTGAAGCATCACTCAAATTAACTTTGAAAACCATTCAGGAACACTTCATTTGATTGCCACAAAAACCTTTGCAGCAATGTTTGCCTCAGCCACTGCTGCTGCTGCTGCTGCTGTTGTTTGTAATTGTTGTTGTAGCAATAGCAATTATGCCATTGAGAGCAACCCTCTGCCACACATTGCCACCCCCTGATGTCTGGCAGCGCCTGCCCGGCAGCCATAAAAGTTCAAACACTCATTTTTCGCTTAGGAAAATATATATATAGTAAATTTTTACTTTTTTGTTTCCTTTCGTTTCGTTTCGTTTCTTTCGCTTTTTGTATTTCGCGTTTTGTGTGTCGCCTTTTGGCCCCAGTGTGAAGGAGGCCCGTTCATGGCGAAACGGCTCTGTTTGGCCAGCGCAAACAGCAGCCAGCGGCGTTCTCGAGGAAGTCGCACAAGTGCAGCGACGGCAACGACAGCATCCTTGAGCCTTGAGCCCATCCGTTTGACTGACAGCCAGGCAAACACACAAACAGACAGCCAATGGGTGGAGAGAGAGAGAGAGAGTGAGTGGGGGGGTTGGTTGGGGGTTTACTGGCAAATAAATAAACAGTGGCGCATGTTGGCCAGCCATAGCCATGCCCCCAATTGAACGCCCACTTGCTTGTTTGCATAGTCAAGTGCGATGTTTGGCAACGCATCTTGCAACAGTCGAGCGTTGCGTTGTCAGCATCCCCCCCCACCCTCAACCCTCGACCCGCAACCCCTGTTCTGATTTCAATGCCAAGTCCCATTCAGTTAAGCCCATTCAAAAAGCCTACGCCCAACCCCTGAAAATGCTTGACAAATGCTTTGCATATATTTAGACACACGTAACTCCACGGCTATGATAATACGTCTGCTAGGTTTACTTATCTGAGAATATAGGAAAATGGAACAGCGAAACTGTTAAGGGATAAAATAGATCAGATAATATTACAACTGCCCAAATAAACATTGAAGTAAGGAATTCAATGAATAATAAAATTGGATGGGAGAATTATGAATGAGTTATAGAATGACTCGAGAAGAGCTTAGATGTGAGGCTGGAGCAGAGCGAGTGTCTTCCTCTCATATTGCCCAAGGCAGAGCTCTCTATATACTTATATCTGAGTGAAACATCAGTTGATAGGGTTGCCAACTATATCAAGAGTGATATTCTACATCTTAATGTATATCGTAGAGGTGGACAGCTATTGATAGTATTATCGAGCAATATTTAAGTCTCTCCTGCACTATCGAAGGCACCCACTATAGATAGATATCCACTTTTAGTACATTGTGAATAGACTAGCATGAAGGTAGGATTGCCATCTATAGCTGCCAGGATTGCCGCTCATGTGTGACTATTGACAGTTGTATCTGCTCTACTTTAGTAACAGCTCAACTATTAGTCAGGGTTGTCAAAGCGAACTTAGCCAGCGCTCAATGATTAGTCCGGGCTGTCGCCTATGCGAAAGACGTCGACTTGAGTTTCGTGCGCTATTTCGATGAGCAACTAAATACACCTTTTCGGGTGACAAGTGCACAAGTGGCTCAGGGGTTGTGTGGCTAAGCCACCCTCACACCCTTAACGTGAAATTACCCCACCCGCGCTCCGCACCCCGCACTCCGCACGCTAGTCGAGGAGGGCATAGACAAAGCGCACACACATTAATTTCGAATTAGTTTTGCATCATGTGGTTCACGATGCAGAAAAATCGACTCTGCCGCCGTGGCTGGCAACCCTCAACGATTCTTAGGGGGACGCAAAGTTGATGATGATGATGCTCCCCACCAGCAGCAGCAGCAGGAGTAGGAGCAGCAGCAGCAGCATCGAGCGACTCGATGAATTGCGTTGGCTCAGCTGGGACTGAAACTGAAATTGGGCAGGGCCTGGCGGGCGGGGAGCG